GCCAAATATTTAGTCCATTTTTATTTTCTGTGTTACGTTTTAAAAACAATTGCATATTTTATATTATTTTCAATCATTTAATAAGTAAATTAATAAAAAAATGTATTTTATTAAAAATGTCATTACAAATTATGAACACAAACGTAAATAAATGCCTCAAAGGTACACGATCACAGCTACTATGATTTGGATAATACAACTGCAGTTCTATAAAACATTCTTTGGTTTTTGCATGAACGTAGAAAAAATATTGTATGCAACTCGTGCAAAAAGTGTTTTTTGTACTCGACAATTTCACGTCGCGTGCAATAAACACTTACTTTTTGCACTTGCTGTATAAATAACTATTAAAATTAGCTATTTTGTCTTTTCCTAAAATAATACTTTAAATTTGTAGATTTTCGTTTAGTGGGTCGTAGAAAAAAAATACTGTACAACTCCAGTTTGTCCACTGTTGTTGCACAAACTAGTATTAAATGGATTATTATTTAAAAAACGTATTTTTATACAGGGTATTTGTAAATAAGTACGAAAGATTTTTGCAAATTGTTATCAAAGTTATTTTGTTAAAAAAAGTTCCTATAAAAGTAGGTCGAAATATGCTTCGTTTCCGGGATACAGAATGTTTAAATTTTAATTTATTAAATTTTATTAATTATTTCAAATAGTTTTTTTACTCTAAATTTGCAAAAAACTTTGAAGGGACAAATGTGTATTTGTTGGGGTGTTCCAAATATTTTTACTTGCACCCGTGGCGTTTGTGCGAGAATGTCACTTTTTTTAATAAAAAAATACTGCGCCACTGACTTTTTGGATCTATGTTTTTTTATATATAATAACTTCGGCAAACATAGAAATAGGTACTTTTTAGATATGTTTTCGAAATAATCATAGGAAATACATATGTTTATTTAAAAATATATATCGTAAATAAATTATTTAGTTAGAAAAAAAGAGTTTCGATAATGTTACACCAGGTTGTACCTATAAAAAAATATTTTAAACGAGAAAACAAAACAGAAATACTCTTTGTTAGACCGGACCTGCGATTTATCGGCCTTTTTTATATTTTAAATCATATAAGTAATGAATTGAAGGGAGCGTAAGTCTGGGAATAGAGCAACGTTGCCAAAGTGCGTTCAGATGCACTGAAAGTTGTCAGTGTGTTCTAAACCTGAATTTGCTGTTAGGTGTCGCATGGATATCGCTCTTTAAATATTATTTTTAAAAAATACAGGATGCTTTGCTATCTCCGAATGAAGCCAACAAAGCACCTCTGTTTCAACAAAGCACTCTGTATTTAAAAAAAAAACATTTTTTTCAAAAAGTTTTATAATATTTTAAGAGCCTAAAAACAGCTCAAACATGTGATATAAGTAGATTTTTCTAGAAAAAAAAAAAAAAAAAAAAAAAATAAATAAACTGAGGTACTTTGCTAACTTTGTTCCAGCAAAGCACCCTGTATTATTTAAAAATAGTAATTTTTAGTAAAGTTTTAAAATATTACAAGAGCCTAAAAATAGTCTAAAAATCTTCAAGCATATATATATTTCATAGAGTCCGCATTCAATAGGGTTTGTTTATGTTATGAGGAGAAATGCCTGGACACTATTACCAGTGTCGCATCATTTTTACGGGGTTTGCAATTAATATAAATAATAAATTTGATACATTACTTGCATAATTTAAGTAGGTACCTATCTAGTAATAGTAAATAATAATAATAATTATTATTAATATTATTATTATTATTTGTGTTGCAAACAACAGATTTTTTTTAATTCAAACATCAGAAAGTGTATAATGGAAAAATGAAGGTTGAAATAATAGGCAATATAAAAGATAAAAAGCTTATACTTAAAAATCAAAAATATAAATAAATAGATATATTATACAAATATTTATGATATCTCTTAATACACGTGCACGAGAATTACAATACAAGAACTTTTTCCAAAAATTTATTAAATATAAAAATATTGTTCGTAACCAATGTTAATAGATTACTAAACGATATACCACAAATAGAAATCAAGCTAATACTTAGGTACTTAGGTACATTTGCACTGCTAGTCGTTAACAAATAATTAAGGCTTCATTTTTATTGGAAAACTGTCTTAAGCTTCGATTATTTTTTAATGACTAGAAGTGCAAATAAAAGAAGCTTGAAATGATTATTTTATTGATAAACTCACATTAGGTTTTGCTTATTTCTTAACGACTAGTAGTCTACTTAATTAAAAAACATAGGTACATTTAATAAAAAATAATTATTGTCAATTTTTGTGATTTATAAAAAATATAGGTAGTAATAGGTAATTATTTTAAAATAAAATTTATGTTGTATTAAAAAGTACTTAGTTACTTACATGTTTTCTAATTCTGCATTTTTTTTCTGGTTCCGATCATTATTGAAAAATTAAAAATTTTGAACGATTAACCCACAAGAAAAGTGCAGGTTCTTTACCTTTTAGATTCATCTTCTTCTGTGGCCTCAGTAAATGCTGATGGCGATGCACCTGGAATTAATCTAGTTCTCCCTCCGCATCCAGTCTTTGACATAAATATAGGCATATCCAGAAAAATGATTGGAACATAAAACATCAGTATTTAAAATGTTTTCTGGAGTAAGTTTTAATGTTTCACCAAATGCGTTTTTTTGGCAGGATTCGCTGGAAACCTACAAAAAACAAAAATTATTGATTTAACATCTTCAACATTATCATGATAAAATGACTTAAAATCGAAAAGCTTGTTTATAAGTATTGAAAAATTATAATTAATTTTTTTAACTTTTCAGTAGAGTCCAAAAACTAAAACAATATTCCTCATACATAATACAAGAATAAACTTATATCAGCCGCTATTACCAGAGATAGATTTCAATTCATAGAGTAATCCTCATTGCAATGATAATACTTCCCTTGATAAAAATGACAAGTACTCTAAATTGTGTCCTCTTTTCAACAGCCTAAATAAAAAGTTTTTTGATTATGCTCCAGTTGAAGAGAATCACAGCTTTGATGAGGCTATGATACCGTATTTTGGGAGACATAGCGGTAAGCAATTTATTAGAGGCAAGCCTATAAGGTGGGGGTATAAATTTTGGGTAGGTACGCTACGCTTTGGATACATTGTTTATTTTGATCCCTACCAAGGTGCGTCGACAACAATTCCGGACAAATATAAACACATGGGTTTGGAAGCGTCAGTTGTTCTCCAATATACAGATGTTCTACATAAAATGCCTTACCAACACTTTCACTTATTTTTTGACAATTTTTTTACATCTTTGTCACTTCTAAAGGAGCTAAAATTGAGGAACATCAAGGCAACTGGTACTATACGTGAAAACCGGATCCCTCAATCTCCATTTAGCGATGCTAAAGTTCTGAAGAAAAAGGCACGAGGTACATTTGAATGGGGGTGTTGCCGATAATGAAATCGCTTTATGCAAATGGAATGACAACAACGTTGTTACTTTAGCCACCAATGCATGTTCAGTTTTGCCAGTAAATAAGGTCAAACGATTTTCACAGGCTGAAAAAAAGCATGTTTATATAGATCAGCCACAATTGATCAAGGCGTACAACGAAAATATGGGAGGTGTAGACCGTAGTGACCAAAACATCAGCCAATATAGAGTTTCAATACGAGGTAAAAAGTGGTATTTTCCGTTATTTTCCCACTGTGTCGACATGGCCTCACAAAACTCGTGGCACTTCCATAGGAATGATGGTGGTACCCTAGACCAACTTCAGTTTAGGAGGGACCTAGGGACTCAGCTGCTCGAAACGTACAGGAAAACAACTAAGAAAGGACCTTCGAAATTGCCAAAAACCGCGCACCAATTCTTACGTTACGATAGACTAGATCATTTAGTTACATATCACGAGAGCCAGCGAAAATGTGCTGTGTGCCACAAAAAAGCAAATTTTGTGTGCCAAAAATGTGACGTTGGTCTTCATCCAAAAAACTGTTTTGTGGCCTATCATACTAATTAATTTTTAAGTTTGAGTTTTAAGTATTTTGCTAAGCATTTTGTAAGATATATAAAAATATTTTTAAATCTTTATTTATTTTTCTAATAGTAGCCCTTTATCCTACCGTCCTTTTAAAAGGACCGCTGTTTTTTTTTTTCCAAAAATGGAAATCGAAAATTTTGTTATGATTTTTTCTCGACTTATGGGACCGTCTATTAACCGTTTTTGAGAAAAAATTATACAAAATCGGAAAAAAATAGTTTTAGGGTCAAATGGGTCAAAAAACCGAGGTGCTCTACTGATTTTGTTCCAACAAAGCACCCTGTATTATTTATAAATAGCATTTTTTTAGTAAAGTTTTATAATATTTCAGGAGCCTAAAAATAGCCTATAAATGCAGTGTGGTTGTTTTTAGAAAAAATAAAAAAAAACGGAGGTGCTCTGCTGGCTTCGTTCGAAGTTAGCCGAGAACCTTGATTTTTGTAAAAACCGAGGAGCATAAAATTTTTGAATAGGGTATAAAAATAGCCTTAACATAGCCTAAAAATATAGCATAGGTTCCAACTCAAAATTGTCTAGGTGCCCTGCTGTCTTCTTTGAATTAATTTGTAGATTCTTACGTTTTTATGTTCTAAATATAATATTAACAATCGGTCTTCAGTCTCAGTCTGTTTCAGTTTACACTTCGCTAAAGTCAAAGCGTGAGTCGACCGTTTGCGCCGGCGTAGTTTGGTCTCTAAAAGGATCCGAGACTAATATTGGTGATTCGAATACGAATCCTTAAGAATTTCTTCGGCGAATCCGGATTACGGATCCTTTTTTTCTTAAGTATTCGAATACCGGTCGCGGATCCTCAAAAAGGATTCGAATCCTCCCCAGCTCTGCCTATAAGTGTATGTATGCTCAGTGTACAAATCACAAAGAGGTCAAACTAGATAATGACCTCAATCTGCACTATATGTATTTTTATTTATGTTAGAAAATGTTTTACTAGTTAACTATTTTTATTTTTTTTAGTTCCTCGAGATATAAATGAGAGAGGTAGAGATCTGGATCAAGTGTTGAATCAATACATGAATTTCGTTAAACCTGCTTTCGAGGAATTTTGCTCACCTGTAAGTCTAATATTTTATGTAAAATTATTAAAATTATATTTTGTTGTTTTCTTTTTTTAGACCAAAAAGTTTGCTGATGTGATAATACCACGAGGTGCAGATAATAGTGGTAAGTATACTAAACTGTCGATTTTTGCCATTTTATGTTAATTTAAAATGTTTCTCATCTTTCACTGTTGGTTAATATCGGATGATTTTTTTTTTAATTTGATGAATTTTATTCTTGATACAATGATGTTTTTCTCAAGTGTTTCGTTAAAGATATATTTTATCGGAAAATTGATTAAAACCTTTTTTGTAGACCACATTTTCTACTATTCTTTTTTTGAAGAATCATATTTATGGAGTTACAGTTAAAACAATTTTTGACGTTACATATCGAAGAAAAAAGTTTTTAACAAAACTATAGAACATTAATTAATCTACAAAAAAGGTCACGATCATTTTTGACCTAGCGCGTGTAAATTACGTACCAAACGGTTGGATTATAGAAAACAGCTAATAAATTAATTTTTTGTGACATTAATAGTGGCGGGTGTAAGGATTTGCCATTATAAACGGTAAAATTGTGATAAAAATTTGACAGTATAGTGGTCGTAAAAGTAACAAACTACTGATACCTCATATCATCGATTTTTCATCAATATATTTCACTCAAACTACCGTCATTGAAATCAACCACAACAAATAGATCTACTTAACAATCTAACATATTTAACACAGGGTCCCATATGGTATTTTTACACATTTTTACGAAAGTTATGTATCATGGCCACCGCGATCACCAGATTTGACCGTTTCAGACTTCTTGTCAGCCGGAGATACATCAAAATACCGTGGAAGACCCTGTATTAAAACCTTACCGATTCTTTAATATTGTTACTACATGCAATGTTGTGGTTCTCTTCACTGCGTACCTTTTCTACAAGCTTTTTTTTTTAAATGGTGAAAGGTGATAGTCACTGCAATCTCATTTCTTTTTGTTATCCTACGAATAATAATCAGCATTCTTTTAACCCCTTCGCATTCTTGTAAATAATGTAAAATAGATATGTGCATGAATGTTTGCTTTTTATTTTTATTAGATGTGTACACACGGTATGTCTCGTTTAAACCCCTTCATCTTTATTTTTTAACCAAAAACGTCATCTGTTATTGTCGTACGTCATAAATAACTGACAGATGTCGTTTGTCATAAGTCAAATCATTGACGGGTGACATTCAATATTTGCACGTGTTTAGTTTGATGATCGTTTCTGTGTTGGTGTTGATTTGAGACGTACTGTTAGTAACTATAGGCATGCGCAAAAACATTGACTTTGGACATTTTGTTGCAGTGGCTATTAACCTGATTGTTCACCACATCAGGGATATTTTGCAAGGGAACCATCGTCCTAACGGTTGTTTCCGTCCCGGAAACGAGTCTCCTGATCATCTTTAGAAGTCTTTTTTTTGTTTTGTATTATTTTTTGAAAATCTTTCTCGATTGATTAACCGATTTGGCATTTGATCTACTGTTTATACAGGCTGTCCCGACCTTTTACTCTGGTAATTGACTTGAATTTTAAATATTGTTTTCCTTTATTACTTCAAATAGGTGTCAAGAAGTAAGTATAGTAACCCGATATCCAATAGGGGACAGCTTGTATAAAAATCATTATGAATGTGTAGGTATAGTGTCCATAAATTATAGGCTAGGGTGTAGAGGGGCAAAGCGAAAGAAATTAGTCCTGGAGCGTAAGAATAATTTGATTTATCTTTAGTACCTACTAAATATTTATTTGAGTCACAGGCAACATTACTGGAAGTATCATCAATTTTTTATTTCCAAATTTGCTCTTCATTACTGGCCCCAAACTATATAGAGCGACCACCTTCATTTTGACTTTATTGCGGAGTTGCCGGCACTTACACTTTGTAGTGCAATTTTGGACTTTTTGCAATATAATTAATAAACACTGATTTTTTTTTAAAGAAATAATGGTTATATAAGGGACATATTAAACCTTTATTCATTTCTTTGCCTTTCTGTACAAAAATAAATCTTCCAAAACAAAACAAATAGTACTGCCCGTTACAAGGGTTTAACAAGAAACAATGCCACTAAACGAATTCAGTTGCCTACAATATATTTGCCTAAATGTTTATAAAAATCTTAACAAGAAATATGGATATGAAAATAGCAATCTTATTGAAATAACCGTCTAATTAACAGAAGTGCCTACGAGACAGTAAGAAAATTGATAAGAACTGATGATTGTTTGGAATATGTTAGTTCAAGATAGATATTATGTTAGTATAATATAAAAAAAGTTTTAACTGAAATTAAATTCTCAAAACAAACAAAATTCTCCAAAATAAATAACCATCCTGTTTAAATAAACAAAATTAACTTAAATTTAATTTCTTCAATATGTGTGTCCATTATTCTTTCAATATTTTCATCTTCACTGCCATAGTCTGCATCTAAATCTAATACTTTCATTTTTATAGACTTGTCCATTTCTCATTCTTCTATTTTAATTACTTTTTCAATCTTCCTCTGCCAATCTTTATTGATGTTGGATACCTCTTCTTTAATAAGCTCAACAACTTTTGCATCAAATTTTAATTTTTTTTCCTACGGCGTCGTATCCGTTTCTTCAACTGTCCCCAAATTAATTCAATCGGATTGAAGACGCAATAATATGGTGGCAGCCATTAGTGGGGATAGAATTCCTCTGGTTGTGCAGATGGAGATGTTGTTCTGTCCAATCTATATCTCTGCAATTCTCGTAGATAGCAGCTGTGCCATCCATCTGGATGTAGTGCTTTCTACTCCTTTGTAGGCTAGTGCTCTTCTGACTTATTCGTGTGGCCTGTTGTCACACGCTCCTTCTATTGGTCTGTTCCAACAACGATCCGAAACCAGTCATTGACACCAGGATTCTGCGCAGTAGATTATTTAGACCGATAAATTCATTATGTGCACAATCCTGGTGTCAATGACTGGTTTCTGACCGTTGTTGGAACGTACCTAAAGTCTAAGAAGGCACACACGAACATTCCTTTGTTTGTCAGTGCATCCTGGATTGCGCCAGTCAGCTATACCAGGATAGTTATTGCCGATATTCTTGCTCGGTACGTGTGATGGCTATGGTGGAGTGGCGGCATCCTCTCCAAGATTTCTATTCTGATATAATGATCAACAGCATTCCTCATTGTTTTTAATACAAAGGATGGCATCCTCTTCAAGATTTCTATTCTGATATAATTATCAACAGCATTCTCCATTGTTTTTAATACAAAGGATGTGAAGCTGATTGGTCGGAATGATTTGGGATATGTGGTATCTTTTTTTCCTACTTTTGAAATAAGTAACAACTCTGGCCCTTGTCCATGGTTCTGGTATATATCCAATTTCTAGACTGTTCCGGGTTATCCGGATTATATGTGATATAAATTCCACCTGTGCCCGTTGAAGCAAGGTGGGATATATTCTATCCACATTTGGAGACTTAAACGGTTCAAACATTTTTACGGTCCACTTTAACCGATTGCTATGTTTACGGACACTTTAATGGATTGCTGGTGCATATGTGTTTGGCCACTGCTGAGTTCTCTCTGGAGGGCCTATTTACGTTACTCGCGCCCCTTATTATAAAAGGTGTGCTCCCAGGGTGCTGTTGTAATTGTCCCAGATAGAGATGGTTCACTAAATACTCTCCAGTTTGTAATTAGATCTTCAATATGTCTCTTACAGAACCATTATTTTCAAAAAAATTCAGTACTTATTAATTACGACAAAATGTCAAAAATTGTCTGGCGAAGTGTAATGCCGACAAGGCCGCAATAACGTCAAAATTGAGTCAGAGAAAGCCCCTATAAATAGTATGGGGCCTGGGATAAAATGTATACAATTATTCAAGTAAAATTGCATAAAACCTTATTTATTACTTATCTAGAAATCTTACTGCAGTATTAAAATTAACTTAATTTACGCGCCGAACTTATTTCTTTCGCTTTTTACCCCTCTACATCGTGGTCTTATATCTTTTATCTTCACTATACAGGTAAACATTCAGTTATAAGTATTATTTTTTTGATACCAAATTTTGTTACAATTATTCGTTTCCTGTATTAATTTTTGTAATAGTTGTTTACATTTAAACTTTATCTAGTCTAAAGACCAATGTATTTCGTACGTTACAGAGGAATCTTTATATGCAGGGTGATAGACATAAAATTCCCCATTCTCATTTTTTGAGTAGCTACTTGCATTTGTCCAATATAAACCAATATTTTTGTACCTTTTATAAAAAAACAAGATAGGAATTCAATTTGGAGAACAGATATTTGTTTTTCAAATCGCTAGGAAATTTGAAAAGAAAAATGATTTAAAAAGCCTTTCTATCAAATTTTAAATACATTCCTCTTAAACCTTGAAGCCAAATTGTTGTGCTGAATGGGGGGCTGATCATCTTAAATTTCTTTAAATAACCCATTAGAAGACATCTACTACTGTCAAATCAGGCAAATGTGGAGACCATTCAACATAATCTCACTTTTCAATCTAATCAGAATAATTTGATTTTATTAGAAATGATCCCTATTGAGCATACAGTAATCTGCTTTCGAGATGTACAGGGTTCGACAAAAGTGACTCAAAAATTACCGTTACACCAAAAATATAAAGAATTCGAAAGTATTTTCACTATGTACTTTTGTCGCACCCTGTATAGGTTTAATTTCGACTGACCTTCGCATCACATGGAAATAAATCACGCGATTCAGAATGCGTCGCACACTTTTTTATACATTATGATCCAAATTTACATTTAAGTCTATTATATATAATTTTTATATAGGGTATTCCAAGACTGCCGATTTTTTGTGCAAAACATATTTATACCATTTTGTCAATTGTAATTTGTGTGCAACAAAATATTGCAAAAAAAATAATATCGTGTTTTAGAATCTAGATTAAGTATTATTAGATAAATCAACGGTGTTTAGAAGAATTAAAAGGCCTAGGAATAATTTTTTTTTAATATTTTTTTTTTACCAAATTTCAGTTTTTATTTGATCAGGATACTTTGTCCTTGACATGTAGTTGTAAATAAGTCTAAT